TCTGCCATATAGAATTTCAAAGGGAGAGAAACCTACCCTGGCCTTCGGGACCCAGCCTACCCGCAGGAGTACAAGAGGCAAGATATCTGTCCAGTGTAAGGATGTCTTCTGCAATAGCTTAGGCATAGCCTGATTTAGAGTCCGGTTCATGAGCTCTATTTTCCCTGAACTCTGAGGCCTGTAAGCTGTATGTAGGTTCCATTTAATTCCCAAAGCCTTAGCTACCTGATGTACTATTCTGCTACAAAGGCTGGGCCATTATCATATCCTATGGCCAGAGGCATTCCACTTCACGAAATTATGTCCTTCAGTAATGCCTTAGTGACTTCTCTTGCCTTTTCTGCAGGAGTGGGATATGCCTCCACCCATACTGAAAAGATGCAAATAAAGACTAGCAGGTATTTATTTCCTCTGCTAGGCCCTATTTTCATAATGCCTATTTCTAAGTCTTAGAAGGAAGCTTGCCCACAGTGCTGAACTCTTATTGGTCCTACAGGACCCTGTTTGATGTTGTTCTGTGCACAGAGAATGCAACCTTGAGAGACTGATGCACACAAGGAGGGAGGACGGGAAACTAGGTAGTACCTTCCTAACAAAGCTTCTATGGAAATTTTCCCTAAATGAGTGAGTACATGCTGTTGGAGGACTATCTTATGGGCTAACTGTTCTGGGACATAGACCCTATGATCTGGGAGTATCCACGAACCTTCCTTCGTTCTCTTGCCCCCTTCTTGCTAGACCCATTCCTCTTCCTGAGGAGTGTATTTTGGAGGTTCAGGTAATTTGGGGGCCAGCATCATCTGTGACGGTGCTGCTTGTTCTTTAGCAGCCACCTTGGCTGTGTCATCAGCAGGTTGGTTTCCTTCTGACACTGAGTCTTTCCCTTTCTGGTGACCTTTGCAATGGATGCTGGCTGTTTCCTTGGGCTCCTGGACTGCTTCTAGTAACTTTAAAATCTCATTCTGATTTTTTGATTCCATTTCCTGTAGCCATCAGGAACCTCCTATTCTGGTCTATAGCCCATGGATATGCTGGGTAGCAGAGACATAGTGCGAATCAGTGTAGATGTTGGCACGCTTATCCTTACTGAGTTCTAGGGCTCTGGCTAGGGCCCAAGGTTCTGCCCTTTGCACTGACCATCCTTCACGCAGGGCCTGTGCCTCAATTGTCTCAAAGTTTGATACCACTGTATATCCAGCTCATCTTTTTTCTTCATCAAGGAAGCTACTGCCATCTGTGAACAATACTAAGACCATTTTCCATAGGGGGCTCTCTGTTAGATCTGGTTGGCTGCAGTAAATCTCCTCTAGGACTTCTAGGCAATCATGCTCCAGCTCATTTGAGGAACTGCAGCAAGTTTATTAACCACACAATGCTATTTATACACAAGACACTGAATAGGAGGTCTGTCAAGAGGAATGTATTCTCTGTTCCTCTTAATCTCTAAGGGAGAGACACAGAAGAAGGACAAGTTCTCGGTACAGCATATCTCAGTAAATAGTTACAGACTTCTTGGTAATCTATAAAAGGCTGTTCTTATTCTACAAAGGTTGCTCTCATTCTACTGATAATCGCCATCCAAACAAGTCTGGGAAAACTGTGTGGGTAAGGGTTCCAGCCTTGCTAGCTCCTTCAAGTGCAAGGACCTTGCCAGCTTACATCTGGCCCCCAACATGTCCCAAGGTAAGCTTATCTGCTTCTTTGAATAATAATGCTGTGAATGCAAGGGCCCTGAGACACGGGGACCACCCAGAAGCAACTGGGTCAAACTGCTTGGAGAGATAGACTACTGGTCTTTGCCAGGGTCCAAACTCCTGGGTTAGAACTCCTAGGGATACCCCACTGTTCTCGTGAACAAAGAGGTTAAAGCTCTTTGTCACATCTGGTAGCCCTAGTGCTGGGGCCACAGTGAGCTTTGCTTTAATAGTGATAAAGGTATTTTCCTGCTCAGGACCCCAGTTGATGGGTGCTTTCTCTTCCCCTTTCAAAGCTTCATAGAGAGGCTTGGCTAGGTTTGAAAACCTTGGGATCCAAATTCAACAGAACCCTCCTGCTCCCAAGAATTCTTGAATCTGCTGATGGGTGCTAGGGACTGGGATGGCACATACTGCCTGCTTTCTTTTAGTCCCTAGCTTTCGTTTCCCTTGGGTGATTCGGAAGCCTAGATACTTGACTTCTTTCTGACAGATTTGTGCCTTTTTGTTGGACATCCTGTAACCTGTTTCAGTTAAGAGCCTCAGAAGGACCCTAACCAGTTTGGCTCAGTGATGGAGCGTCGGCCTGAGGAATGAAGGGTCCCAGGTTGGATTCCGGTGAGGGGCATGTACCTTGGTTGCAGGCATATCTCCAGTGGGGAGTGTGTAGGAGGCAGCTGGTGGATGTTTCTCTCTCATCGATGTTTCTAACTCTCTATCCCTCTCCCGTCCTCTCTGTAAAAAATCAATAAAATATATTTAATAAAAAAAAGAGTCTCAGAAGGATTTGGGTTCCTTCCCAGCACTGAGCTTGCATGGAGCTTGCCACTAGGAGGTCATATACATAGTGAAGTAGAATGCACCCCAGTCCATTCCTGGGGACTTAGACAGATCAGATGCTAGTGCTCCACTAAAGAGAGTAGGGGAATTCTTGAATCCTTGTGGCAGTCTGGTCCAGGTGAAATGCTCCTTGATCCCTGTAGTTGGGTTTTCCCACTCAAAGGCGAACAAAGGCTGACTGGAGGGTGCCAGCTGAAGATAGAAAAAGGCATCCTTCAGATCTAGACATGAAACCATTCCGCCTTTGATGGAATGAGTCCCAGAAGTGTTTAGGGGTGTGGTAGCACCTAATGCAGGGTTATATCAGCCTCATTAACAGTCCACAGGTCCTGCACGGGGTGGTAATCATTAGTCCCTGGCTTTTTCACAGGCAAGAGAGGAGTGTTCCATGGAGACTGGCATCATTTATGAAGTCCCTACCGAAGCAGCTGGTCTAAGTGGACCTGGATTCCTATGTGTGCCTCCTTGGAATCAGATATTGGTGGATTTTAACAGGCTGTGCCCCAGTCTTTAAGTCGATTAAAGGATTCCCTTCCACCCAGACTAGCGGGAATTCTTCCTCTAATTCAGGTTCTAATGGTGAAGCCTTTGACTGAGGGTTATAAAGTCTCCATTCTTCCTCCCTCAGCACTGCAAAAGACTGGATCATTGGGGAGGTCTCCTCACCTAGCCAAAGCTGTCCTGAGCCATCTGGAGCAAAAGTAATTTCTGCCCATTTTGGATAAAAAGTCTCTATCCATCAGAGGTGCTGACAGTTTGGCAAGTACAGGAATTCCTGAATTACTTGGTGGCCTCCAAGATGGCATTGATCAGGGCGAAAGAATGGTCTATGAGGTTTGGTCCCCAGTAGCTCTAATAATGGTGACCTCCTTTCCTGAGAGAGGCACTACTTTCTGTGTGACTACTGAGTGCTCAGCTCCTGTATCAACCATACAATTTACAGTCAGGACCCCAATTTTCATTCTGACTATCGTATCTTGGGGGCCTAGCTGAAAAGAGCCCAGTCTGTTGTAGGCAGAATCAGCCATTTCTAGACAAATGAGATTTTCTTCAGGTAGATCTGGTTGATAGCGTCTGGTCGGCAAACTGGCTCCTTGAGTGTTGCTCTTCCACAAAATACCACATGCACATGCACACAAACAGAGCCCTCAGGATGGCCGCGAATGCACAAAAACGTCCCGGTACCCTCCCAGGATCAGCAGCCCCGCACACCGGGGAGGCTTGTGTGGCTCACTAGAGGCCCCAAAACATTTCTAATCCCTCCCTGATGGGCTGCCACTGCTCTTGCCACCCCGGAGAAGCTGGGAAATGTGTGACCAGATGCCTGAGCATCCTCCAGGTTTCCACCATAGCGCACAGCCGCGGATCCGCCATTGCCAAACATGGTTGTTCTGGGGCCACCCACCCGAGCCTGTCTACATATGTATCGTCCCCTCTTCAACCTAGGAAACAGTGATGCCGCCCCGCAAGACGTAGAGAAGGGGCTCCTGGGACACATGCGGAATATCCCAAGTCCTCTCCAAGTTCTGAAAATGCTTCAGCAGGCCTGTCCTGTCCTCTGCTGGTCGAGGGGCGCCAATGCAATCTCCCCTCCTGCAGCCTCCTATGGGAAAGGCAGTCAGGTGCCTGGACTTGCCCAATTCTGGGTAGACCTGAGGGGGGAAAGTCAAGCAGGGGGCGCTGTTTGTGAGAAGGCAGGAGCTGAAGGGTGCTCATGGATGCCGACAGACCATTGAAATCAAGGAATGTCTGTGTGTGACTGTGTATGTACACACACACACACACACACACACCACACCAGAGTGCAAGGTCCGCCATTAAGATTACTGCCGAGTGACCCACGTCTAGGAGATTCACTGGCTTTTTGCCTGGTGACTCAGGCCTGTGGATCATATTTGATACTCAGCTCAGATTCTGATCACACCTGCAGTACAACTGACCTCATTGGATGCAATAGTTTTGAAAAACAAACGTTATAGGTAGGGCACATCTGAAGGACGGCATCCTATTCATTTCCTAGAGTCGCCATGTCCCCCTGCTACCAAAGAGGTGGCTAACAAGAACAGAAAGGAATTCCCTGAGAGTCCAGATTCCAGGAGTCACAGATCAAGGTGCCAGCGGGACCCCTTTCCATCTGAGGGCTCTGGGGAGCACCTCGCCTCCAGCCTCCAGCTGCTGGTGGCCTCTGGCATCCTGGGCGGAATAGGAGGCATCAGGTGCAGGGCGCAGCCATGTTCAGGAGAACCTTTTCTTGAGATCCTTCTATGAATGCCAACTGAAAGGCGTGCCGGGGCTTGCCTGGGGCATGAGCGCCCCGACCCTAAACTTGACGCCAACCAGTGACCCTTCAGTCCTGGGGGGACTGATTGGTGGAGCTCGTGGCTAAGCCCACCACGCTCTGGGGCTATGAAAGGGCGGGTGAGCCGCCCAGGGCCTTCATTTGCAGACCTTCTCAGTCCTGGGCGTATGGTGATTCTCCAAGGGAGCTTTCAGGTGAGAGATTTCAAAAAGATCCCTGTCCAGGGACATGGAGGCCGCTTCTGCGCACGGAAAAGAAGAGTCTGAAATCAGGCAGCCCCCGAAGCTCGAATCCGCTGGATTCAGTGAAGGGGCTGCTGAAGTCCACTGGGGACCCCGTGGGCCTCAGAAACCATCCCCACCGCCCAGGAAGAGAGGGTGCGCCCCGCCAGCCCGCTGGCTCCCGCCAAGACCCCTCCGAGTGGGAGCTGCAGCCGGGGGAGACCCCGCACGGTGGGGGCCAGGCTCCAGAACCTTGGCAAACCTGCTACGTGAACTCAGCCCTGCAGTGCCTCAGCTACACCCCGCCCATGGCCCGCTACCTGCTGTTAGGGCTGTTCTCCAGGGCCTGAGGGCAGCCCGCGTACTACACCCCGCGTGCCCTGCAGGCTCACGTGACACGGGCCCTCCTGCGGCCCGGGTACGTCATCGTGTCCAAGGTGAAACTGCACAGGGGCTTCCACGCCAGCCAGCAGGATGATGCCCACGAATTCCACCTCTTCACGCTGGACGCCCTGCAGCGGGCCTGTGTGCGGGAGAAGCGGCCGCCGCCTCCGCCATCGCCTCAGCCGCCACTACCACAGCCGCCGGGCAGGCCCTCCCAGGAGGACGCCACCCTGATCCACAGGGTCTTTGGAGGCCACTGGAGATCTCAAATCCAGTGTCTCTGCTGTCACGGCGTGTCAGACACCCTGTACCTTTACCTGGACATCGGCCTGGACATCCAGGGGGCGCAGAGTGTGACCCAGGCCCTGGACCTGCTGAGGAGGCCCCAGCGGCTGGCCAGGACCGATGGCTACCAGTGTGGTGCATTCCTCCGGAAGGTGCCAGCCACCAAGACTCTGCAACTGCACGGGGCCCCCCAGTGCTCACGCTGGTGCTGAAGCGCTTCTCTGCACTGGCAGACAGCAAGGTGGAGACAGAGGTGCGCTACCCTGAGCGCCTGGACCAGAGACCCTACCTGTCCCTGTGGTGGCTGGGTGCGGGCTGCTGCTGTAAAGCCTCTACACCCTGCTGGTACACGCGGGCCGCACCTGCCACAGGGGTCACTACATCTGCTAAGTCTGAGCGGCGGGCAGACCATGGCACATGATGGACCACGCCCAGGTTACTGCCTGCGACGTGTCTGTGGCCCTGAGCCAACGGGCCTATGTGCGCTTTTACATCCAGACCAGTGAACTGGAAGGAAACGGCGAGGACCTGAATTTGCAGAATTTTATTAGCATGGGATAAAAAGTATATACAGCAGAATTTAATAAAACATTTCATACAGCATAATACATAAAATAAAATAAGTAAAATTAACCCACACAACACGTGATGCGTCTTCCCGGTGTCCAATGATGCCATGAGAAGGGGGTGAATTCTCCAAGTCCAGGGAATGCGATGGGAAAAGCCCCAGGAAGCCGCGAGTGGCAGATGTGCACACTCCAAAAGCTCACCCAGTCTTACGGGCGTCAGAGCACACTGACAGGAGGAGCATGGAGGCTGGGCTGGGTCCTTGGGAAGGTTCTCGGCAGAAGCTCTCCAGTGGGTCTCGCACCAGCAGCAGCTATTGCGCTCGCAGACCTGAGAACCTGCAGCGAGGTCATGTGCGCCATCACGGGCTCAGCCTGGACCACTGACGCAGCAGCCCCAGCCCGCTGCTGAGAGCTTTCACAGTGGCCACCAAAGAGAGTTGTGGGGGGGGAAAGACCAGGTCACCTCGCTAGGGTGGACACTTAGAGATGCACTGACTCTGCACATGAGGAACTGGAGGTGGAGGCGCACTGACCTAAGTTTCTCTGACCCGCGTGGGCACACACCCTGGTCCCCTTTAGTCCCATGGCATCTGCAGGACGTGGAGGGGACACACTCCCTCCAAGATCCAGTAACTAGAAAAGTCCAACGTCAGTCACAAAGTCATATGCTGCCAGCCATCAAGTCATACCATGGCCAGGGGGAGGAGAAGGGCTCCTCTGAGGAGCAATAGGGTGAGAGCAGGTCTGTGAAATCAGGGTCTGGAGAGAAATTCCTGACATTGTCGAGGCCCTGAGGCGAGACTATTGCCTCAGATGGAGCCAGATCAGGAGCAAGATAAGGGGTCCCCCTGCTACCAAAGAGGTGGCTAACAAGAACAGAAAGGAATTCCCTGAGAGTCCAGATTCCAGGAGTCACAGATCAAGGTGCCAGCGGGACCCCTTTCCATCTGAGGGCTCTGGGGAGCACCTTGCCTCCAGCCTCCAGCTGCTGGTGGCCTCTGGCATCCTGGGCTGAGACCTAATATACAAACCTATATACATTTTATTCACATCAACTCCAGCCTTTGCCTCCCATGACTTCCAAGGCCAGCTTCGTTGTGTCTGCGTCTCCCTTCTCCCTACCCCTCCCCCTTCCCGTCCT